TTAAATACAAAGTATTGCCTTCTGTAATGCTTGCTGTCTTAATAATACCTCATTCAAATGCAGCTTGCGTAAGAATTTTTTCTATTGTTAAAAAAAATCAGACAGAATTTCGACCAAATTTAGGTCTTAAAACTCTTGAAGCAGTTTTGATTGAAAAAATAAATATGCAGGCAAATGAAGAACTGTGTTATAAAAAAACATTCTCAAAATCAGAACTTAAGCTTGCTAAGCATGCTACATAATTATGCGTATTTTGTTTAATACTTATATGTATCATTCTTGGTTATTTAAATTTTATTTCCCTGTAGAAATCATATCCAGAATAAAGATATGATTTATAGCTTCTGATTTTTTCTATGATTAGTAGTGATTTGAAGTACTTTTTATTAGTGAATGCTTGAGGAGTTAAAAGAAAATTTCTAATTAAATGTGCATATAATTTACAAGGTATATTTTTAATTATTCAGTTTTATATGTATATGGATTTTAAATGTAATAAATTGATTACAATTAATTATTAATTTAAAATTAATGAATGGTTAATTACAACATACGCTACGCGCACATTTTCGAAGTTGTAAAAATGTCGTTCGCGCGTTGACTACTGACAAGGTTTGCTGAAGGTTGGAGTCTATGTAAATGGATTGATGCCTATAAAAGAGAATCTCATCCATACTAAACGATATGAAAGCATAAACAGCATTTACTGAAGAGACAAACCTTACAAAAAAGTTATTATGACAGGAATTCAAGATTATTAAAATAACTGAATCATATGTACATAAAAGAGGAAGGGAAAAAACTGAACGAAAGAGGGAAAGTTATAGAAGAAGGAGAAAGATCACATTCATACATGATTATAAGAACAGAGAAAGGAACAGAAGAGACATTCTTAAAGGAACTAATTGCAAAGCGTTTACAGTGCAAAACAACTATGAAAATGAGAGTCATGAAGATGTGGATGAACCCGAGGTACCTGAGATTAGTAGGAGTACTTCAAATTTAGATGTGCCTCTAAGTTCTTCAGAACCTAGCAGAAATGTGCCACTAAATACTGAAAGAGGTATTGTATCACCAAATTTCACAAATGGACATAGCTATGTTACTTGATCTGGTAGGACTGTTAAAAAATCTCATTATTTAAAAGAATATGTGTAATTTTGTTATTATTTCTGTTAAAAAAGAGAGATGTCATATATGTTACTGTACCTGTATTTATTATTATTATTAACCATAACTGTGATATAGAATATTGCAGTAGCAATGTAGAATAAACAATGTTTTTGTAGATCTCATCATCATTTAGCACATATCCAACATATAAAAATGATACATTTAGCATAAAATTCATAAAAATTATATTATGTGTCTGTGTGCATATGCATTTAGAAGCACAATTCTGTATTTTTGCAAAATTTTTAATAATTTATAACTAACTCTGAAATTGTTTTTGACAATACGACAAAGACCAGTAGAGAGTATTTGTTCAGACATGTAGAGAGTAACAAGTTCGGTATGATTTTTCAATTTTTTTTATCAATGCTAAATTAGTTACAGTAAAAACTAGGCGCCCCACTAGGTTTTTGAAGGGAACAATAGTGTATACCTAAAATGTTTGCTTAATAGTGGCATAAATTTTATAGGGTTGAAATCAAGTTTGTGAATATTTACCCAGCAAGAAATCATCATAAGCTGTTTTATGACAATCATTAGAAGTGAAATAAAAGCTTATTAATAACAATTATAATCCAGAAACAACCTTCAGGAATCACTGTGTATGGAAAATGGCATTACTTTCTACTGCATGTTATTTTTCATTACACATAACTGTCCATTTCTAGCAAAACACTGCTGTTAATTTATTTAAGAAGCTTAAAAAACATATACAAATTTATTACATCAACATCTAATAAAATATTTACCATGTAATCAAATATGTTATAAAGCTCCTCTGAAACCAAAAAAGATGGCAAAAAAAGCAACTCTTCTCTGCCTCCCTTTCTGAAGATTGTGAAGACTACTGAAGCATCTGTAGATTTTTTAGAAGTAAATTGAAACTGTGCATCAGTAGAGAAATCTTCAATTGTTCTTTTAAAGAAGGATCAGGTGTGTAAAGGCTTCATTTGAATCAAGAAAGGATGCTAGTATGCATGACATAACTAAAATCAAGGATCCCTGTATCTGTTGACACAGCAACTAATGCAACAAATGCCCTATTCTGTTGTACGGAATAAGTACATGAAATTAAACAAAGATTAAAAATATTGTGCAAGACAAATTCACTTGATGTAGCTATTGATCTCATTTTGGAAAAAGAACATTGTGCAAATCGACTTATTTTTCTGTGTGCATCAAAATATAACCAGTTATCACCTGCCAAATGCCTTGTAATACTAACTGGTATTGTTTCATTCAAAGAGGAAGTTGCAACCCTATTTAGGAATTTAAATTCCATAAATATAATTTCTACATGAAATTAATTCTATGCCTATGGGTACTTTTCCAGAACATTGTTTGAAAGGTGGTCTTTCTAAGATTTCAGTTTGCCATCCAGGAACTTTATAATTTATTTAACATTATTTGGATTATTAATAATAATAAATAACTTTTGATGGTAAATCCATTTAAGTAAAGCAATATTCATAATTTTAAGATTTAAGATGGTTATTTTTTAGCCTTTTTATATATGGTAAGTTTTTACATTTGTACGTCATTTAAATGTAAATTTTATACTGTGCACTTTAATTGTATGATTTGGAAGCATATGTTATAAATCTAGAGTGCCATAACTATTTTGCATGTGCTTCTTTATTGGTAAATGACAGAAGTGCATTTTATTTTAAAAGCAATATGATTTTTTCCTTTTTTTTTATGCTTGTGCAACTTGATCATCAGCAGAATTAAAGGAAAATCATTTAAAGTTTAGCAGCTCTTATTTTCTTAATCTAAAATGACAAAATGCTACTAAAATAGCTTGTAGAGGGCAGGTTGTTGGTAAAGTATATGATGGCTGTCTGCTTTAGAAGATGCAACTTCATGGATTACTTTACAACAGGAACTGGCATTTATATATGCGACACTTTGAGGAAAATTTGTAGCCTCTTTTCCTGTACAGACACTCCATTTTTTGGCAACGTAATGTGAAATGAACTATCAGAGCTCACTGTTCTTAATAATATCAAGATGTTTCAGAATATGAATAGCTAATTATTGAAAGTTTTTTCTTGGACTTGATTGCAGGAATTGATAACAAAGAAATTCCATGTTACTGTATTAGATGCAGTATTTTACATCAATAAAAATTTGAAAATTTAGTTGTATGGGGGTATTTTACATTGTATTTATCTTGCTGGTTTTTTTAACAGTGATTATCAGTTCTTTAGAGGAAAGATGCATAATTTTTCTTCTTTCTGAATTGGCTGAACAGCTTTGGGTGAGGATGTGATAGTGACTATGAGGATGTGATTTCAAGTGAATGCAAATAAATATATAGGTGTGTACAATGAAGCATTGTTTTAATAGTCAAGTAATTCTGACTGCTGTTTTAGAAATTGTTTCTCGAGTTAATGAATGCTGATGTAATTGACGATATTAAGCTCAATCGAAAGGTAATTAATCTCTAACTGACACATTAGGCACTTTAGACACTGCAACAAAGATTTTTATTGACAACATCCAGTCTACTTATGAGCATTTCAAAACTATTAAAATTTAAAGAAAACCATTCTGTGTATTACTGATATCAAGTTCTGAATAATTTTTGAATTCTTTAAATAACTGGTTTTGTGTTGTGCATAAGTATGTAAAATATGTTACTGTTTATTCAGGTAAATAATAACAATATTTTAAAATACATTTATTAAATTATATGTTCAGTATTTAAAAATCAAATATTAATATTTGTTTTAAAATATGGTTTCATCCATATATTATTGCAGAAAGTTTTATAATTACATTCTTGTTCTTTCCAGTATATCTGATCCCCTCTGCTTATAGGTTCACTTTTGCCAAGTGCAAAAATGTTCTTTATGAGAAGCTTTACTTATTTAATGAATTCTTAGAAAAAACTAAGAGGCTTTATAACTGTAGACTTGGTGGAGGTCATTTGGATCCCTTGAAAAAAGTATTGGGTTGTATGTATATAACAAAAATTGCTGGGTGTAGAATTGTAAACTTATTAAAATGTGAAATGTTAAGACATTAGAATTCTTGGGAAAGTGTTTAAAAGTATGCAAGAATGCTACTTGGAATTAACTTCTTATTGCATCAATAATGCTACATTTGTGTCTTGAACATTAAAAAGAATTCATTAGATTAAAAGGAGATTGCATTAAGGGAGAGTTGGAAATCTTTCGTATGAGAGAAGTGTAAAGATGATTAAAAAAAGTCATATAGAGAATGTTTGTTCTATAATGTTAGCCTTATTTTGTAAAGTGCTTGAGGTATTATTTTGTGCATATTTATTAATCTGACTGGAAAAGTATCTGGAAGCATTAAGTATGGTGGCCTCACATTTGGAAGAAGATGAGGAATAATTATCTGACAATTTATTGCTGAAAATGAGAAACCAGACTGACTTTTATTATGGGATGAAGAAGCTGATGTGGAGATAACCTGTTCATTGCCTCAGTAAATTTCTTAATGGACTTTAACCTGTTCATTTGCTTCAGTAAATTTCTTAATGGACTTCCTGCCTATACCGAATGTGTTGCCAGCAAAGTGCTTCTTTTAGAAGCTGCAAACCTTGGTTGTGCCTCTTTGTGATTGAAGTCTAGAAACTGTATTTAATAAATAAAGTGTGTAGCAGCATTTTTCAGTCATCTCATATAAACACTTAAATGCCCTAATAAGAAGCTTATTAAAATGTGGAATTTTTTATAGTTTTTTACTGATACTTTTTTCAATATTTTATCTTCCATACATATGTAAATAATAAATTTTTTAGAGTAATATTTACCATAATTTTCATATTTACATTCATATATATTTTTCTCCTTTAGATGAACCTGTTGATGGCGATCCTCTAATCACTAGCAATAGTAATGTGTCTTGGCGTCAAGGACGACAGTTACTTAGACAGTAAGACTTATTGTAAAATATGTTTTAGCTACATTCACATTATTAATGTTTATCTTCAGTTGAACTTTTATGTAAGGCACATTTTATTGGTATAGAAGAAGTATTTACCTGCTTTAACATATTTTTACTTGGGTGAAATTTGTATGTATGCTAGAAATCATGCCAATTTTTTATAATTTCAAGATACTGTTATTTTTAATTAGAATGTCTTAAGAAAGCATTGGAAAATTTGAGGCATCAGTCATCCTTGAGGCTGAAATTTTCACACTGAAACTTCTCAAACCACTTTTGAACGGCACTTTCACCGCTCCATATTGCACTTTTTTTATATAGAGCACAACTTTTATGAGCAGTCTGACTAGCATTATTTCCTTTGTAAAAGTAATAATAAGCATAATATGAGAAAAACAAATTTTTAGTTTCTCTGTTTTCAGCACTACAGGGATTTCATTCTATGGAATAAACTTCAAGTGGACATATATTTAATATAAATTGAACAGAAACTATTGACCTGGAAAATGGACATTTACAGTTAAAAAAAGAAATTGCAGAAGACCTCAAATCCTCAGAGATATCAAATCAGCATGGCCTGAATGTCAATAGTGAAATGTGAATGGTGTAGAGACATTAGGATATTTTTGAAGCCAGAGAGATGAAAAATTAGCAACCGCCTTCGCTGGGAATCGAACCACGGACCTCTGGAATACCGGCCTAGCATGCTGAACCATTACACCGTGAAGGCACGCTAGAAAAGTGGGAGAAATACCTTATAATGGCTTTAGCAATTTCTGACAGCATTTGGATATTATTATTATTGGCCATATTCATTATTCAAGTATTGAAGCAAGCTACTATTTTTTATTCATTATTACTTTTATAAGTGTCATTAAGTAAATATTTTACCAAACCTCTCTAAACTTGTACATATAAATGAAGAAAACTCTGTGCTATTTTAATAAAGTTAATTGCAGTAATAAATTTTGACAAACATCCATTAAAGCCACAGCAACCAAAAAGTGTGCAAGTGGGCTACAATAGCAACCTGACACTGCAACTGTGCCAGACACTGTGACTTAACATGTCACAATCCAGAGACGTGTTTTTTGCTTGGCAGTTGCTAAATGATGAAGAATCTTATTAAATTAATTTAGGCAAAGGAATTACCTATAGGAAATTTGTTCATTGCTTTTAGTCCATTTTTCAAATACTCTTACTAGTATTTTCAAGAAGTTGTGTATCGAAAGTATGTTGTTGTAGTGACTTATTTGTTTTGTCTGACAGTAACATTAGAGCCCACAAAATTCATTGTGACAAAGAGTGCAAGATTGTGCCTGTCATTGGCAAGAGCCTTGAGAACCACAGAAAATGGTGTGATTTTCCTTACTTCCAACAGTAACATCAGAACAAGTCCATGAAATTCATCATGGCAAAGTACAGGATTGCACCTGTCATTGGCAAGAGCCTTGAGCATCAGAGATAATGGTCCAGTTCCGTCTCCAATTTTCGTGGAGAGCATCCCGGCAGAAGTACAAGGGTCTTCCCCCTCTTCTTCAACCACCAATCTCTAGAGAGGACTTTTGGCTCATTGCATAGTTAGAGTGCCTCCATGCTGCACAGGCACTATACATTTACAAGTATGCATGCCTTCTCCAGGATTCAAACCTGGGCCTTCGATACAGCAGTCAGCATCGCTAAACACTATCCCAGTTGGGCGGTGTTAAATGTTTTGTTTGGGTCGTCCATTACTATGTACTATTGTCATTACTACTACTGTCAGACTAAATGTTATACAATAAATTAGCATTTCTTCTGTTCAAAATTGCTCATGATGATCATGTACCTTGTATCTCATTCTGTATTAAAGCTTACGAAATCCTGCACTTTTTCTACTGTGATAAGTTTTTAAAGTAATGAAATGTTTTATTTAATTTCATATTTTTTTAATTGATTTATTTCGGGAGTAGAAAATTTGAAACTATTAAAGGTTTCAGTAGGGGACAATTATGAATGAAGGGGAGGAGAGGGTTAGTCTGATGGGGCTTGTTATGCTCTAATTGGTGACAGCATGGATTTGGCCAATTGCATCGTTTTGATGAACAGCCCTGGATCCAGTTCTCTTATTATTAATCATCATCTAATTCATACTCTTGAGATGTCTTTTGGTCATGATGGTATTTTAAGTGTCCCCATATCTGGTAGGTACTGTGTATCTTCAAATGTTCGTGCTTTTATGGAATATGATCCTGTGTCCAATATTTTGGCAGCTGGCACTGCTAATTTTCACATGAATAGGGAAGCAAGCTTCTGAAGGTAAATGTGGGAAAGTGTAGTATTAATTTTGCACATATGGAAAATGAATTGCTGTCTTTGAATTTCATTAAAATTATATAACTTAACTTTATATGAAACTTTATATGAAATAATGCCTAAAATTAAATATTTTAATTGAATTATTTTATTTAAACATGGTTTTATTAATATTTTTAGAACTAAAGCGTCCTAGGTTTAGGCAAAAAATAATTGTGCCAGTTTCAATACTAATTCTATGGACATGCATTTTTCTGGTTAATGAATTTATTTAGTGTAATAATAATTTGTTTTGTTTATTTTTATAGTAAGTCTTTAATGTCTTAAAAGTTTTTTAGCTGCTTTTGAGAAACTAATAAAAAATAATGAAAACTCAGAAAAGATTGATATATTTACAAAGAAGAATTTCAAAGAATTTGACATTTCTTTGAGATATTCAGTGTCGTTTTAGCTCAGTTACAATGCTAGATAACTTCTCTAGCATTGTAAATAAGCAGTAGTTAATGGTTATGTCTGCATATTCTGATGTGCTTAATGTAATGTCTACATATTCTGGTATGGCATTTTGTTTTGTCTACATAGTCTGGTATGCTTCTCATTTACTTCCTTGGTGTTGTTTCTATTGTGTGAGTTCTTTTGTGTTGCTTCTTTATTGTGCCTTCTGTGAACTGTATATTGTCTCATTTTTCTGAAAACTGGTGTAATTTGTCTTTGCATAAGAGAAACACATTACTTTAGTCTACTGTGGTTATTCACAGTTATTGAGCATCTTTTGATTCATGATTTATCACATCTATGTTTTCTAAAAGTTTGACTGCAATGAAAATTTGTTTTCTTATTTCTTCCTGTTTGTTATGATCTTTCAGCCCTTTATGTACAGGTGTTAACAAAGTTCTGGACTTTCATCTGCCTCTTAAGAGATTTAGATTTATTGTGAAGTGTGTCTGCAAATGCCTTTAGTCCTACTATAGGCTGGTATAATTTAATCCTATCATCTGATTAGTTATCTGAGGAGTATGTATATGCTTCTTCATTTAGATGTACTAGTTTGTGTCTTCCAATGTTCTCATGTTCTTTCAAGCATTTCTTGGTCGGCAAAACCAAAACTTTTGTGTACTGCATGTTTTAGTTGATCTCTGGAGATGTAGTGATCAATGGTTACAGTGTGCTATATTGCCACATGACGGAGATAAATTTCAATACTTAAAAATATGCAGTGTTGATGTCTCAGACCTTCTGATAAAGAAGCTGAAATTTGTCTTCTTTCTTTAAAAAATGTAATGGATTTACAAATAGGGCATCAGAGGCAATATTCAAAGTTCTGTCTTGCCTTCTAATGTTTGTGAAAGCCTGTCTATTAAACAAATGTGAAACACCAGCTAAAGAACATACAAAAGGTCTGAATAAAATCTTCCTGCTGAACTATAATTTGTAAAATGTAGTGAATCAGTGCAACAGTAATGGAATGGCAGTTTAAGTTTGATAAGTGTTCCAGATCAGTTGAGGAAATGATAGAAACAAGTTTTCTGATGTTCTTTCTCGAAAATTGTGTCTCTTGGTTTTTGACCGAGCGATTTGATTTAAGTATCCAGTGAGTAAGCAACAATTTCTGGGTTTGATTTTTTCTTATTGAAGATGGCATTTTGGACAGCAGATGATCTTTTTTGGGGGTGGCACAGGTTGCTGAATTTAGGTTCCAAAGAGGCATGAATGTTCTCTTCAGTCCATGGAAACAAGTATGTCACAGTACTTTTGACTTCAGTTCATGATAGTTTGCATTAGCTTATTGACATAAAGAGGTTTGCAGTAATCACATATTATACTAAAAGCATTATGTGGCTCGCATACAGTATTTATGAAGAGAAGGTAGAGCTCAGGTTTCTTGAAAGGACTGTGGAATAAAGTAATGTTGCATTCTATGGGTTTGTGGATTTGGAGTAATTGATTATAACACTTGAAGAATTAAAACACAATTTATTTGCCAGTAAGCACTATTACACAGAATAGTTCCAAAGACACATTTACACTTGTCACAAAACTGACAAACACACTGAAAAAATCAGCAACATAGCCTTCAGGCTATTAACAGTGAGGACAGCTTCACAGCAAAGCACTAAAGTACCGCTCCCGTTTCAGTCGATCGCTCTCAGACTAATCTCTGAACTCAAGACAGTACTTTCTCCATGTATAGGCAGGGTAGCTTTTACCAATCTTTTAGAATATTCCTGAGAAAACCACTAAAATGTGTTCTAGAATGTTGTTCTTCCATCTATGACATATCGCCAATTCTGCCACAAAATCTAGCAACCTGCTATTGATTCATGCTCAGCTGCCAGACTCCTTTGTCCACAGACTTCTTTGTCTTTCTTTGCTCTGTTGGAGCAGATTCATTTTCGAAGTGTTTTGCAGGAAAGCTATCTCACTGTATAGACACTGGGCATTTTGCAGCACTGCTCTCTCCCAATGTCTGCACATCTCGGGCAGTACAAGCCATGTCCAGAAGCCAAATTCAGTACAGACAGACAGACAAAACAAAGTATATAAAGATAAATATTTACACTATTTACAAGTAATTATGAACAAGTTATGTATGCAAATTATATAGGAAAATTAAATTTATAAGAAGTACAGGTACCCATATGGTCCATAGTATGGGGCTAATTTGTCATAATGGAGAGCCTTAAGTTTGGAATTGGGGGACTTAGGTATCCAAACCACGATGACTTTCATATGTTGAGGACTACTTTGACATTTCCTATGTGACTGTAAGAGAAATACCCTTACAATGACTCGGATTGCACAGCCACACCTTGCTGTTTTCCTGGAACTGATGCTTAGTGGCTCTTACATTGTTATCTCTTTTTCATCCTGTCCATTGACTCGAGATGTTAATCAGCTGTTGCACAAAGTATACCTTTTTTAACCGGGTCTGGAGGTCTTGTACTCTCTCTTTAGGCAAGCAGCAGTGGTGGCAACAGCCAGTCTTGTGTAACAAACTATTCTGATTATGATTTTACTTCTCACTTTAACTGTTTGACATAAATCTACCTGCGATTTACTCAACCTCTAAATTGAGCAAGTACATGACAAAATAAGACATAAAAGAAAAAAAATCAACATAAAACTTTTAGTATAACATAAATAAAATGTCACTATGTCCAACTATTATAAGGGCAAACTATTTAATGCTACTTGATTTTATAAAGTTGATTTTATTCTTAAACTTATTAATAATTTTGTTAATTCAAGTTTAATAATAATTCATCGTACTTATGGATCTATTTTATTTTTAGGATGATATTACAAAAGTGAAGTTCGGGCATAGATAATATTAATTGCATTTATTTACTTTCCATTTTTCATAGGCCCTTAATTTACTTAATTTCTATGTGATAGCGAGCAATTCTTTACAGGTGACACAATTATTTCTTTCTGGTTTGGACAAGCACTTACTCCAATAGGCTGTTACTCGCTCTTGACCATTAGTCATTTGGGAAAGGACGGCTTCCTCACTTTCATTGCTTGCATTTGTGTTTAATATGAATTGTTTATTGGTCTGGCGAGGTTAATGTCATCTTCAACTGATGAAACAAATTTTTTTTTTACTCCTCAGTCCACACAAATTTTTTTTTACTCAATGTTAATTTATGCAGGGACCTTGTGATGTTAGAGAACATGTTCACCCATCTTCTATAATACGTGCATAGTATCAGGGAACTCTGTAGTTGATGAATTTCATTGGGCAATCCCTGTCCTTTGCCGACACTTTCTCTGGAACTGTGCGGACAACTTTGGTGGAGATGATGTGCTGCATGTGGTAGGTGACTTCACTGTGAAACAACTTGCATCTCGAAGGATTTAGCTAGAGATTAATTTAGAAGTCAAACAACAAAAATCAGTGTTTTGCAAATTTTTCAGGACTAGCTTTGATGGTTTTACGGAACAATCACTATCAGCTGCCAAAGTGCAAACGAATGAGATTAGATATGGTGATAAGAATGGATGGACAGAAGTTAAGCTAATTGCACCATCAATTGATGAAACAAGAAAGCAAACTTAATTTCCTGAAAGACTGAAGTTAAAGATGGATTGAAATTAGGGTTATTAACTACAGCAGAAAGATTTGTTTTGAATGTTGCACCTCTAGAAAATCTAATTCACCAATGGAAGATTTTGTTTGAATAATTTTGGGTGCAGAAAAATGGAAAATGTGTGATAAAAAACCATCAACAGTGCTGTGCAACAGAGGACTTCTGTGTTTTCTTTTTCCTAACATATGCCTCATGTTCTTTAATGCAAAATTTTAAGGCACTTTTACTTTGACTAATGTAAATTAAACCATATTGGCAAGGAATTCAAGACTCCTAAGATGTCTACAGCATCACCTTAGAGTGATGCAGCTAACTGCAAGGCCTTCACGTGGGAGTCCCACTTCTTAGTTTCTGCCATGGTTGAAACGTGGGTCTTATATAACTCCATGATGATTTTCTGTCATATATGCTTGACTTGATTACTGTAGGAGAAGAAACTGAGCTTAAAATCTTTAGGTTCATTCTTGGGCTCAGTCTGGTTTTCTTTTAAAATGTCTCTTTCTAGAACTTTGGCAATTTTTCTTCCACATTTGCAATTTTGGCTCCTGTTTCTTCTAACTTTTCCTTCACTTGCTCTTTCATGTCTTCTAATTTAGTTTGGGTTTCTTCACTAAGCTCCACGATGTTGCTTCTAATCTTGTTTTGCTGCACTTCCATCTGTTGGAGTTGCAGCTTTTCTTGTCTGGCATTTGTTTCTTCTTGACCTGATTTTATTTTGCTCTCTAACTTTTCTTGCCCCACCTTGATCTCAGCCTTCATCTCTTTATGTCCGTCTTTCATTTCTTGTCCATTTTTTGCAACTGCTCATAAGTCCATCAAAGCCTTCATTTCCTCCACCATGTCTTTCTTCTGTAGGCGTGTCACTGCTTTCAATCACAAATGACACTTCTGACACCAGTTGTTGGGTTCTGCGGGTTACTGGATTTGGAGTAATTGATGATAAAACTTGATGAAGAAACTTTATTCTCAAGTATAGGGCAGTTCCAAAGACACATTTACACTCATCGAAAAACTATGACAAGCACACTGAAACAATCAGCAACACAGCCTTCAGCTTATAATGATGTAGACAGCTTCACGGCAAAGCATTAAAGTACAGTTCCTGACTCGGTTGACCACAAGCTAATCTCTGAACTGAAAACACTTCTTTCTGCCCATACAGGCAGGGTATTCTATGTAGCTTTAGTCTACCTTCAGAAATATTCCTGAGAAAGCTGGTAAAAATGCATTCTAAAATGTTCTTGCTCCATCTGTGACATATCGCAAAATCTGGCGATCCTGCTTTTCCCTGCCAATTTCTGGCAACCCATAAGCCCTCTGTTGACTTAACGCTGCTCAGCTGGCTAACTTCTTTCTCTGCTGCACTGGAGGAGCATCGTTTTCAACCGGCTTTATGGGGAAGTTATCTCACCACAGCTGCTTGGGCATTTTGCAACAAAAAGAATATAGAGTAGTAATACAGTCAAAAGTTGTTAATCCGGACTCGTCGGGGACTTCGGCGATTCCGGATTATCGATTTTTCCAGATTATAGATCGTCAGTTTAAATCTGGTGAAATGGCATGCAGAAATTATAAAATTAAAAATATGAAACCGTAATTTACGAAATAAAGAACAATTATGATCTAAAGGGTATCAAAATTTACAAAAAAAAAAGCTTAATATTTATTTGTTTACTTTATTAAACATTTCTTTCAATGTAAGTTGTTTAAGTTGCTTCGTTTTTTATGTCATAATACATTCTCTTTAATTCCATAAACAGACATAATTTCTTGTTCAGTTACAAAGTTCCGCTGTTCAAGTCCTATAATTGCTGTGTCGAGAATACCGACTAATTTGTCAATCGAAATTTTTTCGTTTTCAATAACCTCTGTTACTTTCTTTGCTATTGGAAGCGAATTATAATGACGAGGCATTTGATTTAAATCATATCAAAGACGAGATGAAATACTACATTGAGTAAGCAATTATAAGCCAAATAAAATAAAAACATCTGCTCTTAAGATAAGGATAGTGCTGACAGATCAACTTCCAATTCAATGCACGCCGCCACGGCGTTAAAGATAAATAAAGTTTAGATAAACAAACGTTAAAGTTTAGATAAACTTTATCCATTTTTTGCAGCAATTCCACTTTCTGTTTAATGGACTCCGAAAGATACTTTCGCTTTGTATATCCTTTACATATTAGTAAATATGTATCGGAAATTCTATTTGACATAATCGAAAGTTCAAGCTTATTTTTATAAAATTGCTCTAACAGTCTGCAAAAAATAATAATCCGGATCCAATTCGAAGATTAAGGAACAACGCAATCTGCAACATTAACTGAAATAGATAGTTAGATAATTTTAGCTTAGTTTATCCCGTCCGTTATACATTAAACGTGCATTCGTAAACGTATTTTGCGCACGCGCACACACAAATTAGCAGCGGTAAAGGTCTTACGTGCATGCGTCAACGCGACGCATGCGCAGAAAGTTTGTAGCTTTGAGGTCCGGATTATGGGTGTCCGAATTAACGACTTTTGACTGTAATACATACGAAGATGCTCATCATTGATTTCTGTGAGAATTCTTCAAATTTGTAGGGACAGTTTCTTTATTGATAAGAAAGAAGTTATTTTTTAATTATTAATTATAGTATTTTTAATATTAAGGAGCAGTTTTTACATATTTTTTAATATGTCAGTTTTGGAATTTTGTGTTGTTATTTCTGTTCATATCATGGCTAGCACCTGTTAATAGGCAGTTGGATTCTTTTACCCCTGCATGGTGATCTATTTTTTAGTTATACAGTGTTGCAAAATTTTCTTGTAACCTTCTAAATAATAAATTTTGAATACATACATGAGCTAAATTTAAAGACCATGTATTTTATTTTAAGTTGTATTGTGCATAAGATATTAGTAGTAATGGAATAATATTTAATCATAATTATATTCCATATTTTTTGGTGTATTGGCTGCACCAAGAATAATTTTGAGATCTTTATTTCTGCATTTTCTTTTTTCTTTTAATTAATATCTTGGAACTGTATTTCCTCCTGAGTACGAAATTACTAGCTGTATGTTTTATGTTGCTTTGATAAGTGAAATTGATTTGAGTGTGTTCTTGTTGCTGTAATTATATTATCAGTTACATGTACTTATGATTCAAGTGGTACTGAGAATTAGAGCTATTCCTCTTTAACAGTAAATACTTGTGTAATAAATGAGTATATATGCAACTTTCTAATGGAGATTTGAAATTTCATTTTTCAACTTGAGATGTCTTTTAACTAGGAACGAAAATTTTTATCAGTTTTGTTATATGATGAAATTTAATGCAGTTGAAAATTCTTTTGCTTTAACTTTATTATTTGAAATGTTTATTGTAAGTGCTTGATTTAGTTTTTGTTACTTTTTAAGTTTTGCTATTTCTGTAGATATTTACAAGAAATTGGTTATACAGACACGATTATTGATGTACGTTCAGCCAGAGTGCGTACTCTTCTTGGTCTAGCTCCATCTAGTACAGAAAATGATGATAAGCAAAATTTATCATCTGTTCTTAATGGGGAACAAGTGAAAAGATCCAGTGATACACAACTTAGAAGGTATTATTGTATATTTTGTGGTTAATCCTTTCTTCATTTCAAATGTTTTTGAATTTAAATCAAGTAATATGTTAAATTTTAGAACTCCCGGAAAAAAATCAAATTCTGTCACAGAAAATGCACTTATGGATGCTGAACAGTCAGTACTGGATACTTTTGATTTTCTTTCATCTGAAAATGTGGATATGGATGATGATGATGAGAATTTGAGGTAATCAAGATTTATATATTAATTTCTTGATTCAGTGATCCCCCATCCCCAACAAAAATGAAGGATTTCAATCTTACTTATTTTTTACTACTTACTTTAGTGACGAAATGGATGATACTTGTGCAGTAGATGATGAGGATAATGAAAGACTAGAAAAGAAAGTAAAAATAAAAGCCAAGGTACTAAATTTCATTTGTGCCAAGTTTTTTTTTATTTTTTTTTTTTTTTATTTTTATTGTCATGTAATTTTATTGAGAATGCAATTGTATTTGACCATGGGCTAATATATAAAAATGTTTGATTGAATTTAATTTTAGGGGCCAAATGACAATTTAGCTAGAAGTGAAGATGGAATAAGTGAGACATCAACTGAAGAAGCTCTAGCAGAGTTTGATTTCCTTGGTGCTGGTGATTCTAATGATCATCGACCCCAGAGTGATAGTGCTGACTGGGGTAAGAAACCTTCCATATCTGCATAAAATATTTTCAGATATGGAATTTTGATTTCTAGTTTATTGAAAGTTTAAATGTCTTCTTGATTTATGTTTTAATTTCTGTAACTCCTAAAGAATAATTTTGTGGTGCTTAGTAAGTTATGTACAAAATGTAAATCTTTACTTTTTTATTCTGTCAATGTGAGATAACTGTAATCAACATGAATCAAAAGATGAATTTCCTTAGTGACAATATATACTGTGTGGACATTTTATTGTGAGTACGCACATCTAGCAATGTTCTTTTGTCGCCTTTTGCCTTCAAAACACTGTAAGTTCTTTACACAGACTTAAATGAGCTACTGAAGTAATTGTGAAGGTATTTTATAAAGGTTTTACAGTTTCATGCAAATCCTGGAGATTTGATGGAGGAATAGACATGCAGTAATCAACTGCTTTCAGCTCACTTGAAGATCTTCATTTAATTTGAGATCTGAGGACTGAAGAGCAGCATAGCGACATAAAAGTCACTGTTGTCCTCCTTAAACTATCTCATAATGATATGAGCTTTGTTCACTGGCACAGTATAGTGTTTGAAGTTGTCATCTGATTTAGAGTAAATATCAGCATGAATGGTCGTCCATTATCAGCAGTGATACTCATTAATTTAATGGCATTCCATAGCTGTATGAGACTTACATTTTTTCATCACATATCCTGGTAGATCAGTACATCTCTGTGTATTTAATTTTTAGACTTTACTAAGGAAAGATTTTTTTCAGTAATAAATGAAATTTATTGACTTAATGAAACTTAAATTATGCAGATTTCATCGCCCTAGAGATTTTCAGCATAATTTTTTTGTGCTCATGTTATATGTGTTGAATTGTCTTAATCCACTGTAGACATTTGTTGAATTTTCCCTGAAGATTCATCCAATGTTTAATCCATTAATATTTTTATTTCATTTGCTTTCCTCATGACGCAGTTTATCGCTGAGTTTATCAACTCAGTAGTATTGCATTAATTATTTGTTTTGTTTTTGTGTTTAAAAATACTTAAATAAATGAAAGCTTTTCTTTCCTACTTTCTTTTCTACTTGTAAAGGTTTTAAGTAAGAAAATTACAAACTGAAATTTGCCAAAGAGCATAAAATTTAGAATATCTAATTAAATATTAAAATTTAACAAATATTCTCTATTCATATTAAGCAAATATAAAATTAACATTTAAAATTTGATCAAGAAATTTTAATTGAAGAAATAAAAATAATTATTATTGCTTCAAACTAATTTACAATATCAATTAAATTCTAAGAGCACATGTAAATTAATTGCACTTATCAGAATCCTGTTATAAATAGTTAGTTGACTAACCTGTATCATGCATCATAAAGCTAATTTGTCAGTTTAGTTTTTTTTTTTTTTAAATAGTGTCACAGCATAGCATTAAAACCTCTTGAAAACTCTAGGTTTTGTATTTCTATATGTGTAGCTATAGTATTTAGTCATGGCTGGGTAGGTATTAGCAAATCCAGCATGTCTCGCAGAAATATTCCACCTCTCGTACTAAATGATCATTATCAGACATGAAGGATCCATACACATGATTCATGCTGTTTTTAAATTCTAAGCCTGGCACCAGTTTGATGCAGTAGAAACTCGTACCAATCAGCCTTTTTCCAGTTTGATGCAATAGAAACTTTAAAAGGTACCAAGCAACCTTTTTTCCAGTTTGCAGGGTTCAATGTTTGTGTTTCTGTGATCACAGAAAAAATTCTTTTGGGCTAACTTTGATAGCTAAATTCACCATCGGCTACTTATAGTTCACTACACTGTAAGATCATCTAGCAGTTTGCTGCAGTATATGATTCTTAGCAATTAAATTTATATATCTCTTTCAGAGACTGTAGCTGGTCTTCGTTTTTTTGGGAGGGGGTATGATTCTAGCTGTATTACTTTGACCTGTTGCCTCAAGTGATTTTCTTTCATAAAAGCAACATAAGGAATGTTTAATGTTAATAGCACCATTTTACTACTATGGTACCTAGCCTTGGGAAAACTGTTTCAGATGCTCATTGTTTGGTACACCTTGGACTTTCCACCATGCCATGCTCAGTCTGTTCTTACCCATTTTCACTGTTGCTAATATATATGACAGTATTAAACCTGCTGCTTTATATTCAGACCTGAAATTTTGGGCATACAGTGTAAAAGATAGAACAAACTATTTAATGCAGTCCTTGAAAAGAACAAACTGTTTGTGTGCAGCATGGCTTCAGTGAGTACTGACTTTCTTTTGTAACAGGGCATTTTCTTAAAATCTTAGTAATTTTAAACCCAAAGAGTGCAGATTTTTATAATGTGTTTTCAGTTGAAAATGCATTAGATTTTATTCTTGTTTAGTTTGTTGTTTGCACACAAATTTAAAACTTCTTAAAAAATTTGTGTTTTTAAGGAATTTTAATCAGATACCTGATGAGTGCTTGGATTTTTCATGTGTTTACAGTTAATCATTTAAAAAAGAAATTAAGTTCTCTCTATTATCTTCATTTTTATGTGCTCAATTAAACACATTTGAAGATGCAGAATTTGTTCAAGCTTATTCTTTTACATTCTGCATATCTTGTACCAGCTTTTCTGTGAAATTAAAGGAAATCAAATAACAATCTCAGAGAAATGACTAGATTTTCTTCTGCATTTCAGTGCAGTCCTGTTCCGCATTTTTTAAATGACTATTTACTGTGTGCTTAATGTATTAAAATAAGTTAGCAATTGAAAAGTTTGCTCTTCAGGTCATGCTGTGTTATTAGGATGTGTACATACTTCATTTATTGCTATGTGCAGATAATTGACTTGTACTTAATGCAGTAAACATATATATATATATATTTTTAAATATAAAGTGCTAGACAAATTCAGATTCTCAATCAGTTTTCGTACAAGTTCACAGAATACATTCATAAAATATAGCAGTTCAATGATAAGATTTAGTATGGACATAATAATTTTTTCCTAAATGTTGCAAGAGTTTTAAATTACTTTCTACTAGTCTTTCATTCACTGGTTGTACTTTTATATCTCACATTATATATCAGGACAGAGTTCAGGTGCTTTGGAGGATTATGTTCTAAATATTTAAATGTTCATTCATTTCTTAAGGCATAAATGCTATCAGCTCATATATATAATGATATTTAAGTTTGGTAGCTGAAGATTATCATATATGATTTGAATTCTTATATTTAAGAATTGTATTATTTTTATGCACTTAATAGTTTTTTTTTAATATATGAGATATAAATTATTTTATTTTAATAATGTGGGATTCTGTGAAAGCATGTATGGAATAACTGCACTTGTAGGTTTATTATGTGAAATTTGAATTATATTCAATATATATTCGATAGGATTAGGAGAAAAAATCTGTCCTTTATCAATGTAAAAGATTTCATGAATTGCAGAAGAGAGAACATTAAGTTAGGTGGTGTAACCATTGTTGCATAAATTTCTGCTGATTGTGAACAATTTGGCAAAGAAACTTTGATGCTGAATGATTGTGTATAGAACACATAAAAATATTTGATCGTGAATTCCTAGTTTGGATTTAAAACAATCTGTACTGAAGAGTCAAGATTTTTTATCTAAATCTGCAGTGCAACTGTAGTAGTGTAAATTTTAAGCTAAATATGCAATGTAATTTAAATGCTAAGTAATTGATTTTACCATCATCTGATCTTGTGATGAATTCGCAGTCGTTTGGAGAACTGACAATGTTTTTATACAGTGATGTAGTAAAAATTTCTTCTTAATGAAGTGGCAATTTTTGCTCTGCTGAATATATTCGTAATAAGGAAAAGATAGAAGCAGTTTGTATTTTATTTTGTAAGGTTTGGTAAAGAAAAAAAAGAACAGCAGAAAATAGTGTGAAGTTTATTTCTTTTCTTGAAGAGCTATTTAAAGTTTTAAAATTTGAAATGGGGTTGAAGTCTTAATGAAATCAATTAGGTTGTCATGGATTTAGGAGGGGAATAACTGGAAGGTGTTGCTTCGGATGAAATTATTAGTGTAATGGGTTTTGTACATTTAAAAATTAAGATATTTAATTAACCTCAGTGTGTAAATATATTTTAAGCTTTAAAAACTAAATTGTTCCACCTTTTTTTCGGGGGGGGGGTAGAATTGTGATACTATTTGTTAAATATTTTGCTTTTGTATTTTAGAGGCTTTACTTAGAATTTTGGTGGAATACGTTTTGAGTGCATTTGCTGTTGCAGAAATTTAATTTATATCCGCTGCTTATAAGCTTTTATATTTTTAGGAATGATCATGGTTTACAGCTTATTTTCACTATTGTACCGCTTTATGCTTGTCATTTTTAATTTAAAAATAATCATACTATATACTGTGTGTGGAATGCTGTTTCATTTATTGTGATTTAATTCCTTTTGAAGTCTTTTTCACTCTTCCTTTCTCCTTCCTTTCTTTTTAAGTTGAATTTTTGTAAATGGTTAAAATTAACAAAATCACTATTTTATTTTCTTGGCTGTAAGCTGTATTATGCATGGAATGCTGTGTTTCCCTTGTAAAATTTTTTTTTTTGTTTTTTTGTTTTGTATTGTGAAAGGATTTCTTGGTAATTTCTGTGTTTTGTGTTTATAATTTTGTAATTAATTTTGTATGAATTTACAGTCGTGTAGCTTAAAATGTAAAAATTGCTAAACTTGCTTCTCTGTCATACTTTCTTAATATGTATATGTATATTTAAAAAAAAGTTAGAATGTTTTTTAATACTTGGTAAAACAATTTAGTACTTAAAATGAATTTACTAGTACTGTTTTATACATGAAGATGTGTTCAGTGATTGAAACATTTTTATTATTATGAGCAAGTAATGTGGACAGATTGAAAAAGATGTCAAGACATCATAAATTACATGTAGTTTCTGTCCATATTGCTTTAATCCCTGATCATGCCATTTTATAACAGAGCAGTCAGAGGATTCCTCTGAGGAAGAATGGGGTTCAAATCCTCAGATGATTTCCCAGTTGATGGAAGCATATCGTAGGGAAAGGAAATGCAAGAAAGGCTCTACTCAGAGTAAGTTAGCCCAAATTAGCATCTGGTTGCCTATTTCCCATTAATGCTTTGGGTGACTTGGTGCTTCTGCTTGGGCATATATGTGCAGCAGGTACTGCTACATAATTATCTATATTAGGAATAACTTCTGTGGTGTGATTCTTTTAACCACTTGGTGGTGACTGCTCTGTTTTGTTACTGGACATGGATGTCAGGGAATGATTTCATTTCAGTTAATTACTTAGCTCCAGATTAATTTTTGCATGATACTAATGTTAATGTATGCATATCTTACTTACCAAATAACACTTATCCATGCAACTGCAACACTGAACTGATTATCTTAGTTCCTTTATCTGCTTACTGACTTAAAAGTATGTATTTTTTTAAAGTGCATAGTTAATAATTTAGTAATTTATGAAATGTTAGAATCACATGTTTAAGTCACTATTCTTGGTCATTTAATAGTATTTTGTGTAAAGTGTGTGAAACTTTATCATGTAACTTCTGAGTTAGTAAATTTAATGCAAATTAAATTTCAAGTAAATTTTAACCACTTGAATGAATTATTAGATCTATAATATTTTATAATTAAACAGTTAAATAGTCCATGTTAAAATTTGATTATTTATGTTACTATATGATTAATCTGATTTTAATGTAAAACTGCGTAGTTAAAAAAAATTTTTACAGGCCATCTTCCCCCCCCCCCACACACACAAAAAAATTAGAAGTTTTCACATCATATCATGTTAACATGCTAGATGCAGAATTACAACAAAGGAAACAATATGAAATACTATTGTACATATGTTGCCTATAACTAATATAATAAATGAAATTAACCCATTATAATAACAAATAGTTTCATTGAAGTAATTGAGTTCCTGAGTTAGAGAATTTAACATAATAACATAATTTGTTAGAGGATTTAACATAAGATTCCCCCTCCCTTAAATTTTACCTCTTATATTTCTTTAGGTACTGTCCTATAAGTTCAATTTGTCATATGGAACTTTTAGGTTTAATTATTTGTTAATAGCAGATAATTTACAATGAAAATAAAAAAAAAATTGTAAATTTAATAATCTGATGTAAATTGTTGTTCATTTTGCGTTGAAATACTAATTATTCCTTGATAATCATTTCATTTTTGTTTTAAGTATCCATTACTATTCTTTGACTTCATAATGCGTTCATTTTTGGTTTAAATATATATTACTATTTTTTGAAATGTAGGTAATATGCTACAGAAAGAACTACCAAATGCTGAAAAAAATTAGTGACAAGAATTAGTGTAATGCAAGTAAAACATTTTGTAATGTAATTTTGGGTCTCAGTCATCTCCTTCTACCATTATGAATATGAAAAGGAGGCAAAAGACAAAAAAAGCTTTCAAAAATTTCTTGGCCAGTTACCACTTCTGCCCAAGTGGTAACTGAATAAGCAAAGTCTCTAGTACTGTCTGTGTGCTGAAAGAAAGGTGAACAAGAGACAACTAAGTCAAGTTCCTTGAAGGCTAATGGTAGATGGGAAGGAGAAATACACAGGGTTGCCACGCTACCTGGAAAACCGGGAGAAGTCAGGGAATTCGAAAATTGACCAAAATATTCAGGGAAAAGTCAGGGAATTTAAGTATTTTTGTCAAAATCTGGAAAAGTCGGGGAAGTTCATACAACAATCCCGCCAAAAAAAGCGATTTTTGCGCTGACGTCGGAAGAGGTAACTTTTTTGGCGAATTATGTATCAGAGTGTCATTCCGGTAGCTGGCATCGAGCCAATTTTCGCAGCTCCAATTTGATTGTCTTTTAGAAAGGCAAAGCAACTTTCCCGCAACTTTTGGTTTCCAATATTCTCGAGAATCGCATGTGCAGTGCATGAACTAAAGAAAGTACCTGTTCTCGTATAAAACAAAATGGGTTTAATCCTAGTATACGGTACCATGGAGGTTAGAATCAAAGAATATGTATTGTAAAGAAGGAAAACCTCTCTGCAACAGACGTGGCTGTGGCTCCGTTCCATCATAGAGGGAAAACAGCTGTGCCTGTCTGATATATCTGTCGCCAAAGCTCGAAACCGGTGTCGAAGTTCGAAGGTCCGTTTATCACGGGGGGGGGGGGGGGGGGGGGGGGGGGGGGGGGGGGGGGGGGGGGGGGGGGGGTGGGGGGGGGGGGGGGGGTTATCAAAAGTTCGTAAAATGAATATCGTTTAAAATTTCTTTAACCACTTGCGCTAAAAGGACGTGCCACGCGCATCAAAATGCTTTTGTCTCAAACCGCGAGCGACGTGAACACCACGTCGATAAGCATTTATCGCAAAAATGAAAATAACGTGGTGCACACGTCGCCTAACAACGAGATTGTTTATTTCTCGAGTTACAGCTCTGGATTGCACTTGCAGATGCGGAGCGGCGTGAATGAGACACTTTACGGCTTGTTATATTGTAGCGCACGGCACCGCAACCGTGAAGTTTAGTCTCAGCGCAAGTGGTTAAACTCTAAAGGAAAAGAAAATATTTTTTGGCGCAAGTAAATTAATTCATGGATTAGTTATTTTCAGGGGAAAAAAAAAACTACGAAAATCTGTTTTTAAAATTATTGCGAAAAATCCAAGAAGAAAAGTCCTTTGATAAAACGTTTCTTGGATTTTTCGCAATAATTTAAAAACAGGTTTTCGTGGTTTTCTTTTTGTCAAAGAGCGTTTCTTCTTAACACGTGTTTCTCAATTTCCTGTACACATCGCGGAGAGGGAAATTCTGGCCGCCAGGTTCCGTCGCCAAATCCCTTGGCAAATTTTCCCTCCGCATTCTAGCGGCGTAATAGCATTTTACTTGTATGGAACCTTTTCTTCTTTACATAGACGTTCTTTGGTTAGAATAATAATGGAATTTGGCGACATCTTGATGCGCAGTGAACGGGTCATTTTGGTCTTGGCAACAATTTTCAAAATCGTGCCACAAAGCCCTACCGTATACTAGAATTTTACCGCAAAAATCTTTTTAAACCTTTTTTTTTTTTTTTCTTTTTAATAAATACCTTGCCATTTTGCAGTAAAATAAAAAAATAGTAATCAGTCATCTAGGCTAGCCATGTAATATAACTATATTCGCTAAATATCGTTGATTATTCTAATTCAATTTTTAAGTAATTATTTTTATGTTATTCATGGTAATTTAATGTTGCTTCTTCCCTCTAAATTTATTTATTATTAGTAAATAATATTTCCAAATTTCAGGAAATTTTTCTCTGGCATAATTCTGAAATTAATTATAGCAGTATGATGACATACCATCACGAAATTTAATGCACATATTTTTTTCCTTATGTATGCTGCGAAATAATATAAAATACCTCAATTTATTAAAATAGATTTCTTTCTTTCGTTTAGCTGCAGAATGTCTACAAAAAAAGCCTTATTTTATTCCAGAATGAGAAGTTTCTAATCTCAATATTCAGTGGAGAAAACAACAACTATTATAATTATATTTGTGTTTTCAAGTGTTAAGGTGCCTTTTAAGAACATACCTCACGCAAATTAAATTTACCTAAAATCTAACCTAACTATTTAGCATTGCGTTGTGATTTATAAGGACCGGATTAGCCTCGTGTTGAACTGGTGATGATCATGAGTAATAATTAAATAAAACATACATTTGTTATCCAATATATATATCTTAAATTTTATTAAGTTTCTTAAGTGGAAAAATAAACAAAATTATTAAACAAAGTATACCAAGAGTAATTAAGAATAAATGTCCTCTGGATTTATTGAATAATTAAGTGAATTTGCTACACCAATACAAGTAATACCATAATTAATTTACCTCTTAGCACAGCCAACGTACATTACGCGGATAGACTGGAATTTTCTTGAAACACACCTGGAAAACCTGGAAAAGTCAGGGAATTTCATTCTCCTGTTTGAGTGGCAACCCTGAATACAAAATCTGAATAACTGAATTAAGCTGAGATGTTTATGGATGTGAAAGCCTTCTTGGAGCTCTCATGCTTCAGTTGAAAATTTCTGTAACTTTGGCTTTAGGCAGATAGCCCTCGAGGCTTTACCATTATCACATAAACCAAACCATCCAACAAAAGGTGCACAGAAATTTAAATTTAAAAAAAAAAAAAAAAAAAAAACTGATTACTTTATTTCACATGTCAGTCTTGATGAATGAAGCTTTAACTCAGCTTTGAATGAACTGAATACTTTTTGTTTTTGGAGTATTGATTACTGCCAAATTAAAAAACCATGGGGAGCCCTGTCATTTGGCTGATTGGCTGATATTATGAGGCGCTGTTAACCCAAATAAGTTAAAATATTAAAAATACTTTTTTCCTCTGTTATGTTGGTACAACTGCTTTATTTGATGGCAGTAACAATTAAAAAGCTCTCTTTCATGAATTTCATAGATTGTACTAATCAGTTTACTTTTGAACTGAAGACACCTGATTCCTTTTTGTATACCTTTTAGTTACATAAGAAGAATTTTATTACATGATTACTGTGTATCATAAATCTTCCTTATGTTACCTTCTCCTTATTCCAGACCTTGTCATTCTGCTAAATAAAGTCGACTCCTTTTTTCTTCTTAAGTTTTCTGAGTATTCATATATTTGCTGTTCAAAGTAAGCTTATAAGGTATTTCTCCCTTATAAGCTTACTTATTACTTACCCGTCATCTTAGCATCTCTTCGTAGTGTAGTGGTCTGCACGCTGGGCACGTATTCCAGAGGTCCGTGGTTTGATTCCCAGCAAAGGCTTTTGCTCCTCTCTTGTGACTCCTGCTTCCAAAATAGCCTAATGTCTCTACAGTGGCACCTGAACTAAAAGGGTGGTGGATGATGATTCTCCACACCCAGGATTTGGCCATTGGGTCCCCTAAAACCCCAGCTGCCCTTTAAAAGGGGGAGTATATAAGGTATTTCTCCCACCTTCTCAGCATGTCTTCATAATGTGGTGGTCTGCACTTTGGGCACGTATTCCAGAGGTCCGTGGTTCGATTTCCGGTGAAGGCGTTG